GTTAAAAGTATGGATAAGGGTTAATAGGCTCTGCAGGCGGCTGAGGGTATGCACAACTGCCTTTCCGGGAGGGAGTGACACTTGCGTAGTGGTACGCGTGTTTTGATCAATCGGCTGCAGCGCCGCACCGCAACCGCGCGCATGTCCCGGGTTCACCCCATGTGAGCAGGGATGTACTGAAAACTAAAAAGGTTAACAAATTAGTTGAGCTCGAGATAATGAGTTCCTCCGAGTCTGTTGATCGCAAAAAACGCTTTGAAAATTTAAATTTGGGTAATCTGTTGTTCGCAAAAAACTTTGAGAATCTGGACTTGTGTAATCCTGGTGGCCGGACCGCGTGTCACTGAAACCAAGAAATTGAACCAAAACTATTCTCGAGGATGCAAATCTACTCGTAAACCAATGAGAGTCGTAAACTATCAAGCTGAGTGCATTGAAATCTTAGCTAGTTGACTTTCACATTAAAGGCTGTCCACCAAATGCAGCTTCAATGGCATACGGAATTTTCCTCATCATATCTTACCGTCTTATCATCCTCCTATTGACCATGGAACATCAGTTCGCTCTTATAAACCCAACAAGCACCATAAACCACTTGGACCGTCCAGCAATACACAATTTTGACCGCGCTCGTCAAATAGCTTGCGTTGTCTGCGTTGTGGAAATCACATCAAATAATTCGTCTACCTAAGTGATCTACTCCTATTTAGTTGCAAATACCTTCTTGAGCTTTCATTCGCTAAATCTAACTTTTAGCATGGTATTTCGAAAGTACAGACCAGCCAAGCAATGGGGAAAAATTGATACACGAATTTTTAAAAGCTATGCTTAAGGCGAGAAACGCCAGAAGAACGTCTCACTTTATTATACCAGATGCAGTGAAGGTTTGTGTTTCTCCTTTCACTTATTTGTTTCTTTTACATTTTGAAATTGACCTGTATTAAAGGTGGTTAGTTTTGCTTGCACTGCGACCGCCTATAGTGCGTTCTATGTAATGAGTTTTTTTTATGTTTTGAGGTTCTCTTTATTTTGCTGCGGAAGCTCATCGCATTAAGAAAGGCGTTATTGCTCGGAATGGCAATTTGTCTATTAATGCACCGTTAGGAAGCTCTCGAACAATAGCGTCGTCTAGAAACTTGGTTGAAGCTTTTCTAATCGAGCTTTTCGGGACCTAGCCCACCATTGGTTGGTGTCTGAGCTCTTCTCCTGAATGTTTCATAGGGAAATAACATTGAGTTCAAGTGTAGCAAAGGACCGTCATCTGCTAGGAGTAGGAGTTAGGAGGAGAAGGCACGTCCCATGAGACTGCGTATCGATCACAGAGCTGTTTCATACCTTACGTCAGCTTTTTTAGTGCGCGCCAGTGTGACCAGTGTACGTTCAAAACGCTAGATACCTATACTTTCCTAGTCGCTGGAGACGCTGAATCCACACCTATACTTTTCGCTCAAAACGCTGGCGAAAAGTATGAAAGCATTCTAATCGTTGTTGTCGTGGCTATGCCGTAGGTGAGATACATATTGATTCGACGTAACCGATGTTTTCGACGTCGAATCAATACCTATCTAGTCTTCTGAGCGTAGTCGCGAAACGTTGATCTCGTCATTTACGTCTCGATATGTATTTCATCTTCGCGGAGTGGACGAATGGACGAAGATACCAGTTTTGAATCATTGGCAGTGTCGTCTCAAGACACGTCATTAACGTGTTATATGACGTCAGTGACACGTCATCTATCTCTACAAAGCTCATGTGCTCGGCTGCATACCTGTGTTACATCAGCGCCGAAAAACATTTGCAACGTCAATGAATGCTGTGGGCATTCCGTACCAGAATGCCTACATGTGTCGGTCCGTCGCGGCGCGTGTTTCTTAGATTACGGCTTATAACCTCCCTCTAGTTTTGTATGAATGAATGAATGATAAAACTATGACGGAAAACAGTAAAAGGAAATATTTATATCTGTGTCCTGGCAAAACATTAAGCTAATCCATTGAAGGCAGCTGGTATTACTGTGTACGATCCCAATGATCCTTCATTTATGACGCCCATCATTGGAACTGGAAAGCCTTTGCCAGATTTGCGTATGGATCACCCTGCCTTCCGGGTGCCGTCAATTGAGGTAATGCCTTTTTCTGTTTCTCATTCACCTTAGCCTATTAGTTGCTAAAATCTAATTTTCACAAACAGAATCTCGTGGGAAGTATTTTATTTTGGTTTTCAGGAACACCCGCTTTACCATGATACTAGGTGTTTTCTTTTTGATGGCACCACACCAATGAGTGACGGTATCGATCAGGCGGCAGTGCTGAGCAAAGCGATAGTACGACAAGGCTTACCAGAGACGGTGATTCATCGTGCGGCCCACGTTGATATCTCCGAGGAGCAGGTTAGTTCTCGTCCTATTTTACCTCGAGTTACCCCTGAATCGTACTGACAAACAGTTTGATATTTTTATTTTTAAGAGTTCAGTCTTTTCTGAAAAATTGAGCAAGTGACTCCCTTCACTGGCATCCTAGTTGCTGCAGTTATTCGTATTCGAAGCGCGCCACCGCACGCAAACAAGCGCCTATAGCCATTTGACTCCAAGTAGCACTTTGGCGTCAAATTGAACAGGCTGTGGAGAGTCATATCTCTCCACTCCCATGGAGGCGTATAATATAAGCTGAAAAGTTTCCATTTGCCTTTGAATAATACATCTGGCCCTAAGCCGAGTCAACTACCGTCTCTTCGTTGCGATGCTCCGTTGGATGCCTGGCCTATGTCAGGGCAGAGAGGTTGCTTCGCGCGGCTCCAGCTCATTGTCCACAAACTGTTGTGACTTGCCGTTTTCGAAAATTGGTAAAGAACGGGCTGTCACCGCCCCGAACCTAGTCCCTGACACACCCCAGCATGTGCAGCGAGCAAACTGTAAATGGGACTACCGGCGATACTGCGCCCAGGATATTCTGAACTAATACCTATCTTTATAGGTTCGTGATGCTATTCTGCATGGTGAAAAATATGACCCGACGCTGGAAAAGCTGCCGAAAAGATTTGATCCTGTGCTTTTCTGGGTGACACACATCAGGGTTCATGGAACTCCTGTAATCAAACGACTGTAAGTTCAGATAAACGTTCTCCTACTTATTTGCATGGGGCGTTAGATTGGATTTCGTAACTTCTCGAAGAGCATTTCTTTGCTGGTGATTCTGATTATGTTTTTCAGTAATATCATACTCGATAATCTCTCACGTGCCGTTTTATTTTCCGAAATTCGAAGTGGAAACCATGCTGACCACATTCGGTATGTGTATAGTTTTTAATAAGATCCATTTTCTTTTGTTTTATCCTTTTCAACTTCTGATGTTGATTATGCGCATCTTCAACTGAGGCTCTATTTGCCGTTAGTAGTGACGTACGGGTGTAGGACTTTCTTAAAAGATCTCACTTCACACCTATCATGCCTCTCGGGAGACTCGCCCGGTGTTGCCTGACTTAATTGCTCTCTCACTAACTCCTGACCTTTCCTCTACTTGACGATTACATCATGATGACTGATTATTTACTGCTGATTTTTTAGCAAATTTAATAGAATTAAGGACTACCAGTCGGATGCGTGCTCCTCCTTCCGCTTCACGGCTCGGCTTCGCCGAGCCGACCTGGCTTCGCCAGGCCCCCTTCCCTTAGGCGATATTAGAATGGATAAGGAAGTAGTCCGGATCAGTCCTTACTGGAAGGGCATAACTGCAGAGTTATGGGTTGCAATAGAAAGGAGAACTCAACATTGCTTGAACTGTAAAGTGTGTGTCGGAGTGTCGGAGAGCTCGAATGTTACACCGACAGCACGTCACCATTCCCAATTGTTGACTTCCTTCCTTATACTGCTTGAATTGCGACCGCTCCTACCGCGAAATTTTTTCGATTGATGATTTTCTCGATTTTCCCGTTTCAGCCGCGCTATATACCCCCCCCCCAGCGTCGTGACCTATTTTTTCGGTTGACATCGAAGAAATGAGGACCCTGAGGCTATAATACTCGCTTTTAGCGGTAAGAAGTGATCAAAATGTAGCGCAGATGGTATCTTATCGGTTTTTATCGATTGATAAGATTACCTGTCACCCGTCATCAATGTCCTCATCACTAAATCTCTATGTTTTGGTAGCGTGAACCACCTTGAACAGCGACGACGACTGCAACTTTCCTTATCAGCCCCTATCAAACAGTTCTCTCTTCAGCACGCCACTGGCTGATGTCCGCACGATTTCCCCTTCTGTATATGCTTTTGCTAGACCAACCCCTCACGACGCTGTGATCTGCGCACTCGCTTCACTGGCACCCAGTGACCCATACTTACTAATGGCTTAGTTATCGAATCTTATCAGGTGCTGACACTTCGTGTCACCCACCAATGATAATCATGTCCCATACCCTATATCATCTCTTGGAATGAATACCTAACTGATGCTTTCATCAGCGTTATGAATGTGGTGGCGATCCCCTTCTAACGACCCTTATCGAATCTTATCAGTAGATATCACTTCCTATCACCCACCGCAAAGCTTCCTCTCATAACCCTATGTCAATCTGAGATGAACAGCCAACTAATGCTGTCACCTGTGTTTATGAATATGTCGAATCGTCGGTGCTGAGCGCGCGCTCCAACGCGATTATTGGACGTGCCTGATAAATAAGGAATCCAGCGTTGTAGAGCTTACTTATTCCTTGATAATGGCTACTTCGCGTGATAAAAATTATGAGTTCTATGCATAAGCAGATCTACATGAGGTAAGAAGGTTTCACTTTTTTTAGGTCGGGATAAGGCCAACTCTTTTCCCTGGGTGAGCTTCTTTTTGCTTTTTTGTTGTTTTTTATTTTTCCGAGGGATTTATACAAGCGCTTCGAAAGTTCCTACTGTTCCAACTTCCAAAACATTTATAGTTTACAAGTCGAGTTCAAACAACGAAGAAAAAAGAAAAGAAAGAAACTCACCTAGGAACCAAAACACTAATCATTTTACGCAACATCAACAGGTGAAAACTTTATAACCTCATGTATAAGCTCGACGAATGAAAAAGAAACAATAAAAACCTACCTAAATGAAGCTCTCACGCTTTTTGCTCATTTCTATCCTGAATCAAGAAAGAAAATAGAAAACAAAAGCAATTAAGCTGGGTTCACCTTTCCTTGAGTCAAACCAAGCTTCAGTACCTAAGGAAATTGTAGTTAAAGGAAAAAAGCATGAAATTGAGTCGCTTACCCCCAAAAGCCTTCGGAGCGCACGTAATATCGTTGGGGCGCGCTCTGCCATGTACCGACGATCGCGGCGATCGCCGAGGTCGCCGCGATCGCCGCTGCTGTCGCGAAGTATGAACGCTGCCTTAGCGAGAGAGCAATTTAAGTCAGGCAACACCGCAGGCGAGTCTTCCCGAGAGGCATGATAGGTGTGAAGTGAGATCTTTTAAGAACACCACACACCGTGACGTACCTGGGTGCAGGTCAGGAGATCCTCGTTGCGGCGACGTCAGCCGTCTGCGCGGCTTTTGCACCAGTGCGTCATTGATCAGACGCGAAAGTGCTACCGCATATCAAGCCAGTCTGCAAGTGGCTTGATTTGTCGATCGCTCACAATCTAGCTAACAAATGCTATCAAGTTTGTGTACGTCGTATTCAGGCAGATCTCCTGGGCAGATAGGTGCCTTAGATAGACGACAGCTGGGAATCGTGACGAGTCGCGGACTTTATTTCCATAATATCAAGTCTCCAAACTCTGTACCCTTCTGAAGCAATGAGTTTCTTTGAATAGAGTGCTTCAGACTGGACAGGGATGAACCGCTCAGTGCTACTTTACCAAATGTCGGATCGTTCGCTCCAAGTCCACTAGTGCTTCGCTTTCAACCTCATATAACTTTGCAAGGATCCAAGCCAATCGCTCCATGGGCTACAGCTGATGAAGTTGAAGAAGCAAGGTATGTAGTTTTACAAAAGCGTTTTTTTTGCCGTGGTAGAGCTATGGTTTTCAACATGTCGTTTTTCGAAAGAAAGTGTAAAGTTTTTCGAAAGAGTGGGAGAGCCGTGTCGTGTTCTAACAGCAGTTTTTTTTTGCGGAAGAATTGCAGAAAAACTTTGGAAATTGGAAAAAATCTTTGAAAAAGGGGTCAAAATGGGAGAATTCAATGAGATGGTAAGTAGGATGCGGATGGGGGTGTTGGGGATCGTACTTGCAAAGTTTTCCTCGATGCGAGGACCAGTACTGCCCTGATGACCCTCGTGATGGCGTCAAAAAGAAGAGAAAGGATGTGACCTAGTTTCACTCTTTCATCCACAGCTCTCCCCTCAGGAGAGCCACAGCTCCCCCTCAGGAGAGCCACAGCTCCCCCATCAGGAGAGCTGTGGATGCGTCTGAGAGTCATAGAGTCAAAGAAAAGCAGTGTACACGTATTGAAATTGATCACTTGACCCCGCTCACAGGGCGCTTTGTGAGCATTGGAAGCTTAGAGATTAGACTACTATAGGGCAATATACGAGTCGATCCCAAAGACTTTGCGCTCAAGTGGAGAATGACCATATCGATTCTTGCTAGATCTTTTTTTCGCGCTGTCTCCAATTATTCGTTTCTTCAGCTCGCCCTGACTACCCTAGCTTTTATGAAAACTGCAGATGTTTAATAACAAACATGTTTAGTCAATTAAATATACCGGACATTGCACCTCTATCTCCGTTGATCGACTTGGGATCGGATCATATCTACAACGATAAAGCTGTGGTTGCTCGACCGGACACATCGCTAGCACTTCATACGATACTGTGGTCGCGAGAACAGGATCAGAAGTATCCATGGACAAAGTGGGTTTTTAGAAGGTCTATGACTGCCTTGAAGCTCTTATTTCGAATTCTGCTCTTCAAAGCTATTTATGTATTTCAGAGAACAAAATGCTGCAAACGCAGTTATGCACACATTTGGGGCCGCAGTGGCGGAAGCGACACGAAGGAATACTTCGAGGGATTTGAAGAAGGACCCTGTGGTACGCCTTTATCAGTAATATCTTGAAATTGTGTGCGTTTCTGCTTCTTGTCGACTTTTAAAAGCCATGAACCATGGCGCCGGCATAATTGAGAAGGCACGCGATGGCGCGAGTAGGCTTGCTAGTCCGGCACCTATCACCGAGATTGTGATCCCTTCTCCTCCGAGGACGGTTGCTTATCTATTTGAATTTGTCTTCTGCATGCTTTTATCTGAAGCCCTTCATCACACGCATAGAGGCCAGCGGCAGTTGAAACAGCAGAAGCTGTGAAAGAAAATGCGAAGAACCAGGGACTGATCTTTCCAAGAGCAGGGGGCTCAGAGAGGGTGAGTTATTTCTAGTGCGTGAAAAGCCTGTCACCAATTTGTAGGTAGAAGGCTTGGTTGGAGTGGAGGGGGGGATGCGACAGGCCCGGAATTTTTCTCCCGGACCGCGTGATGGTATTAATAGACACTTGGAACTAAACCACTTCCGTCAGGGCACAAAGACCGGACGACACGATGGAAATAGCTGTGCCCATGTTGTCCGTAAACCTTGTGCTCAACCTTGTTAGTTCCAGTAAGTCAGTGTGAGCCGACCCCACATGCTCCCCCTCATTTTTTTGCGTCAGCGTTACATTCTTTATTTCGTCATACTCACGTTGGCGTGATTTAGGTAGTCAAAGGTGTGCAACTTGTGGATGGCAAGATGGATCTCATCACCTTCCAGTTGAATACATTGAATTTAACTTCTGACGAGCCCACTAAAAATATCGTTTGGGTTGAGAAAGGTGAGAAATTCTAGCCTGTTCGAGGATTTCCACCAGGTTATCTTATGTGCCACCAACCTTCGAGTTTCAGCATGTCCTCTATATAAGCCGAAACCTTTCTATGAGCAGCTCACGGAGGTACCACATGTAAATATGGATACATGGAAAAAATTTGTTGCACTGTTGTGGAATAAGTAAATTTACTAGTGCCTGTTGGTATAGGTTGAGAATGCGATGTTGTTTTTATTAGTTTGATAGCATTAGATTTTTGAATTTTGTTAGTTAGTTAGGATTCAGTTGTTTTGTTAAGGATTTTCTTTACTGAAAATTGTATAAAGTTTTCAACTATGAATTTTTCAATGGTTAACGCGCAGTATTTCCGCTACGCCTACTTGAACAATGTCACCCTTGTTTCATTTAGAATACATTGCAGTTGGATGGGAGGAGACACATAACTGCTGTGCCTTCCTCATTGGCTCCTTCTCTTTCTAGCACCGTAAGGGAGGAACGCGCCGGTTGAGAAGGCGCAATAGTATGAGTCCACTCCCATCGTATTATCGCAGAATATGTCCTTGAAGATAATTCGGAGTCGTGTTTTAGTGCATGTCAGAAGGCCTCATTCTACAAAAACACGTGAAGTTTCTCATACGTCACTTGAACGTGTTCCCGGAACAATATTGCTCTTTGGACACCAATAGGTTGGGCCTGCTTTATTTGTTAGACTTTTTCAAAGATTATGATCTTTCATCCCTCAGCCTTGGAAATCTGCTATATTCTTTTCCTGACTTCTGTGCAATTGTTTCGCTGAGCGCTGGGGTTGTCAACAGGGGAAGGGGGCTGGTTTAGCACGACTCCACCGCGTTTTCCACCAAGTTGTCGCTTTTCTGCCTCGACAGTTGGTCGAGGATGGGTTGGCGATACGCCAAACCCACCTTCATGACCGCATCCTAGAGCGTTTTGCGGAAAACGGTTGTAGCTTACTTATTGAAGATAGGTAAGCTCGAGGTTGCGATGTGCGCGGAGCTAGGAGACAACTTCGTTAGGGCTTCCATCTCTTTGCATCTTCTAATGTCGTAAGAGGCGAGAACAGGAACTCCACGCCTGTGACGTCATTCCCCGATCCGTCCACCCGGCTGTCCCGAACGGTCTTTAACGCATGTAGAAAATCAGTGGTACAGGATTTCAAGTGAATCAGAGTTCGACGCGATTGACTAGTCCTCAACAGGAGGCCGTATTTGAGTTGCTGGGGAGCGATTCTTTTGTGGCTTCTTAGTGCGGTCTTTATTAATGTCTACACAAAAGATCGTCGACCTTCACCTACTCTTCAGGTCGGCAAACCTTTTTAGGAAATCGTTGATTAGGGAAGTTATGTGAGGGGGAGATACAGTTGAACTTCGGTTGCGATGGTAGGGCCAGGGAGAGGTTGGAATTAGGGTCGTGCTGACCGTCAAGTACACATCAGTGGCATTGCCAGTCCTGAGAGTAGTGTTTCGATGGCACACGCACCCCGCGCCCCATCCCTCCAACAACATTGCTAAGGGCGACCCATATGTTCAGGTCACTATAATTTTAGCGTCACAGTACCCAGAAAAAGTGCAGAAATGGTAAAGTGGTCTTATTTCAGGGTTACCTTACTTTTCTTTGCTGTATCGGCTCTTGATCTTCTTGGTGAACTAGACAAACTTCTGACTGACGATCGCAGAAAGTCCATCATTGATTGGATCTACAAGCTACAAGTTACCGGACCAGGTTTGTTCATTCGAGGGTTCTTTTTGTGTTTCCTTCCGCTGAAGTCTTGGCACGTTTCAACACAGTTCCGTGGTTTTTCTTTCATTTGCTTTCATAAAGCTAATGGTATGTGTTGTAAATAATAACGCCTGGTTCCAGAACGCCTGGCAGTTTGGCGCTGCATTGTCACGTTTTTGTTATTTTGTTGACCATTTGTTTACCATTTGTGTTTGTCTTCAAATTTCTCTTTTCCTTTATTGTTGTTTTTTTTTCATTTCTGCTTTGTGAATGAGTGCCCTATTCTGTGAACCGAGACTACGGGACTTTGGGCTGCCCGATGCCGGATGGCGCGGGTTCGGTGGGATATTGACCGACCTGAGGTCTGGAGATGACATTCCTCAGTATAACCTTGCCGCGCGTTGGAAAAGACCTATAGCACCAGTTATTGCCGGTTACATCGAGCCGATTCTGCCTCGGAAGTCTCTAAAGGTAATAATTCTCAATTAATATTATTAGTTTTTCAAAAAGTTCCATTGAATACACTTAGGTCGTTCCACGGCGACCTCCTGGCAGTTTCCGATGCGACATGGATAGTAATATGTTGAGATACGTAAATCTACTAGCGTCTTCTCGGCGAAATGAGCGGGAGCTCAGGTTGTGGAGGGTGGCTGAAGGTTCCCATCAAAAAACCATCGAAGAGTTCGGTATCGAGGTAAGTAGAAACATTGGCTATTTTCCGAGTCTCACCGCTCACGCCCGCCCTTCGAGACTGGATTTCCCTAGGAATCTATCCCAGAAGCAGACTGGAATAGAATTTTGAGCGCTGTTTATCGACGGGGGGCATTTTGTATTATAATTGCTTCCCTGGTTCCGGTTTACAAATCTCACTCTGGTAAAACTTGTGAACGCTTGAAGCTGGAGCAAGATCGTCTAGCCACCAATCGCTAAAACGGGCCAACTCGAAAAAAATGTAGGTAATGGGTATGGCAAATATGAACGCAGAAATGTCTCTCACCCCACCCCGAGTCGATATAATAGCGCCGTATTTTTGTCTAGTCAACGGGACCTTCGTTCCTGTTCATCCCAACAAGACAAAAAGCTTGATGCAGGGCACGCTCATCCCGCCTGTTCCGAAAATTTTTACAAAGCAGAGGAGCCGTGTCCCCTTGAAACTTATTTCCTGCTGGTAACGGGCTAGGATCTACTTCTCGCAGCGAGCAGATACGACCCAACTTTCTTGCTATGCACTAAATGATGCTGCTGAGGACGGAGTCCAATGATGCGAATGCTGCGTACACCACTTCGCTCGAAATTCCTACTTTTCCCCAAGTTGTTATGGTCAGATTGTCCCTGGGGACAACTTATAGACTGATGTTCCCCAACTGACAACTTCGATAAATCCAATTTGTGAAAGGTTTGGTCGTGGAGGATAAGAGTGGTTCTTCAATTCTGCGTCGTTTTGGATACAAGTGGCTCTTCAGGTGCAAGATGGAGTCTTATCATCGAAAGGAGAAGCTAGGCGCGAGCTGAGTATGAGCGATCCTATTCAAGAATTACGGGTCAGTCAGCAAAGTGGAGAGTTCTGGGTTCGCTGTAAACGAAATTTGAGCGTGGTCAACCTGCGCACCGGTGATCAAGAGCTCGTTTTCAGGGTGGGTACTATTTAAGTGCTTTGCTCCTTTGCACTTCTATCCTGGTCCAGTCTGTGTTCTTCAATGTTTAGAGCGCGGTGCGATGTTTTGAAGAGAATGCTCTACTCCCTGGTGACGTCACTTTGTGTGATATGGGTGGAATGGTATGGAGTGGTGCTATTGGGTCCCCTTTGTCGAGGACGAAGAGCTCGTGTAATGAGATAAAGGTGAATTTTTTTGGCTTTTGAGCTAAAATAATTGAGAAGTTGGTTTTTCAGTTGATTTCTCATAGTGACCATCCTCGTGTAGTTTTTGCGTCTTCGGATCATGAAGTTCGCACATTCGACCTTCGTCTGGATAGCGCTGCTTGTTCTACTACCCTCTTTGAAGTTCCTGAACTTGATAAAAAGGTATGAGTACAAGCCGCTCGGCTGTTTGGTGCTCTTTCCAATTTGACTGGCCTATTTTTCCTTGTTGGGGCTAGTTCTTCAACGCGTTTTCAAAACTGGTTTTTGAAAATTGGCGTGTTTCAAAAAAATGATCATGTTGAATGCATATGCACTTCATGATTACTACTCGGTAGGGATGCGGGAGGGGTTCAGGACATGATTGAGGGATCCGGAACGAGTAGTTCAGATTCGACTTGCTGTGGAGAGGAGTAGCTTCTAGTTCGGCACTATGTACCCTCTATAGCCTCCCTTCTTCCGAGACAGATTGGCCAGAAAACTCCGTGGGGCTAGATTTGGTTGGGATTTTATGTCATTGTGGTTTCAACCTCCGTCTGCACGCGGATAAAAGGATAAAGTATAAAGTCTTCGCCGTTAATCAATCCCTTTCTGGGACGCGGCACGCATTCTAAGTCTTCGCCGTTAATCAATCCCTTTGTGGGATGCGGCACGCATTCTACTTCCATTCAGAATCGTAGTGGCTTATTGAATGCGATGTGGCCTATACAATGACTTGCGGGGGCCAGCCGATGTACAAGTCAGTGTTTTATCCTCCCAGACGAATCTGGTACCAATTTACCGTCCCCGGAGGGTAGAAGGCTTGGTTGGCCTGGGCGGGTGTCGACCTGGGATTCGAACCCAGGACCGCGCGAGTGGTAAGCGCGCCACTTGTCACACCATCTCCGCCTCGCGGATATAACAACGAAAGTACCTGACTTCCACACCGCAGGTGCCGTCACAAAACACCTCAATTCAGCAGATCTGTTAAAAATTTGTCCCCAGGCGAATTGGCTTCCTCCACCTGAATATCACGCTTACGTGGAGCGAAACAGCTTGTGGGTAACACCATCGGGTTTCATAAAACTCCCCTCTAGCGCCGGCGTACGTGGCGCGGGTTATGAACGGAATACAATGTGGTGCTTTTGTTAAAACGGTTCTTCTATTTGACTCAAGATGCTATTTTAGGGTCTGATGGA